TTTTAAAAACAAAACTAAGCAAAAATCAAATTAAAATTAAATACACACTCAATACAATTATTTGCACACACACTAAGATATTTCAAAACAGGTAAAATCAAAACAAATCAAAATCACGGACGAAGATGCCTATTTATGATTTTCTATTTAACGACCGGATTACGGTTCGAATTATGCATGACACACACATTTTTTGTATTTTGTTTTAATAAAGTAATAATGGGCAAAATTGTAAATAACCAACAAAGTGCCATGTAAAAATCCAAAATTTGTACAGCAGGGCCAATTATCATTATTTCTTATTTCTTTTGGAGCGATTGTCGTGCGAAACAAAAATCACGTGCTCACAATTTCTACTCAATTATATACAACTACAATATCATACAACTTAAATATAATTTTTATACAATGTTGTTCAACTTTCATACAATAGTTAAATAAATAAATAAAAAATATATAAACATCAAAATACAATTTTTCTACAATATTTCTATAATTTTTCTACAATTTCGTAAATATAATGTATATAATGTCGTCTTCTTCTTCTTCTTCTTCTTCGAGTTTCTATCTGAAATTCAGCCAAAACCAAGTCTAATCTTTAACAAAACCCCTCAAAATGGAGATATAAACTCCAAACCATATTCCCAATTGTTTGCAACAACACCCAATCCAAACAAAATAATGATTTTTGAAAACCCAAATTCGAATTCAAAACTTCAAAGCTTTTTAATGGCTGTCAATGGTGGAATTGCTGCTCTCTTTTCCTTTGCTTTACATTACTGAAATTAGGGATTGAGAGATAGAAAGAGACGTAGAGAGAATTCCCAATTCTTTGCAACAATATCCAATTCAAACAAATAATATTTTTTGAAAACCCAAATTCGAATTCAAAGCTTCAAAGCTTTTTAATGGTTGTCAATGGTGGAATTGCTACTCTCTTATGCAAGGTACGTGGGGGAGAGGGGGGTGGGATGTGGAGAGAGAAAGGTGGGGAGGTGGGGTGGGTGGAAGATACGTTAGTGATTTTAGGACACTAATTATTATCATTAATTCCTTAAAATGTACATAAATGGTAATTGGGTATATAAAATGTAATTATAGTAAAACTTGAATAGAGAGGGTAATATAGTTTCATATAGTGTATAGGAATATAAAAATTCCTTTTAAAATTCGGACTATATATTTGCACCATATATATGACCTTTTTCAAGGGAATATTTTTGAAATAGCTATATATTTAATTATATAAATAAGTTGAATAATCATGATGCATATAGAACAAGAGTTGTTACTTGGCCAATTTTTCTTTCTTCACCCTCCATATTTGGCAATACCTTTGGCCTTACGTTGACAAACACTATAAATTCAACGTTACGTTCCGGAAATGTCTAGGCCAGAGAACTAGTTAGACAAACTTAGTAACTCTATCATATACATCCACATGAGGTGATATGTATAAATTAGCTATAATTGAATCTTCCTTGTTTTTATACCAAAAGCAAACAGTATCCATAAATTCACCAAACTTTAAGCTGGTGCTTAGATGAGAACGTACTGATCCAAACAAAAGATTGTACAAAACAAAACAAAAGGAAAGAGATCGATCATATTCCTCTGAGTTTATTATCTACAACTCATACTTTACAAATATATAGCATCAGTGTAAAATTTAAAGCAAGCATGCATTATACAACCTTAAATTTACAAAAATAAAGTAAAATAAAAAATTACATTATAAAGCTTTCTAGGAGATATATATTAGAGCGTATTTAATCAACGGGTAGACAGACAGACTATAGCAAACGAGCAATTTTGAATTCCCACAAATCAGTTTATTCTTCCTGCGAACTATAGATGAGCCAATCGTATTTATTTATTTATTTATTTGGAGAGTAATAAATTGAAAGAAAAAAAGAAAAAAAGTAGTTACTTAGCTAGCTTCAGAATTGGGACTTTAAGAAACTAGTTTGTTTTCAATGTCTTTAAGGACCTTGCACATTGAATTGTATGAAGATCCTCCTTTTCTTAAAGCATTCTCAGCGCTTATTAAAAGTTGTTTAGCCTTATTTCTTATTCCTTTCCCTTCTGGATACTGCATTATTGTTCTCACCATTTTCTCTATCTCTTCCCTTCCCACCACTTTCTTTGTCGGCAAAAACTCCGGCCGAACTGCCACCCTGAGTTCCTTCGTCAACATGGTGGCATTAAGTCTTTGCTCAGCGTAGAGTTGCCAGGCTATCATGGGAATGCCATTTGTTAAGCTCTCTATTGTCGAATTCCATCCACAATGAGACAAAAATCCTTTGTCTCGTGTACGTGTCAAAAAGCCCTCAGGCAAGTAATCTAGTGTCCCATCACAAGGTTATTTCTACTTGTTGTGCCCACGTTTGAACCACCAATCCTTTGTCTCGTGTACGTGTCAAAAATCCACCTACTGCCGAGTGACTTAATATTTCTACTTGTTGTGCCCACGTTTGAACCACCAATCCTTTGTCTCGTGTACGTGTCAAAAAGCCCTCAGGCAAGTAATCTAGTGTCCCATCACAAGGTAAGTGTTGCGCTGGACATAAGGAGCATGATGACTTGACATTATCCTCTTCTTTTTCCGACTTATCAACGGCAGTCTGTTCAGGATTTTGTCCTGAATTAAAAAAGCTTCCGTCGGCCCCACCATCACACGGTGGACGCACCACCCAAACAAACCTCTGCTGGCTTAATTTCAAACCCCAAGCCAACTCAATCATCTGCTTAGAAGATAGAGTTCCACCACTTCCAAATGATACATACAAAACTGACTCTGAAGGTTGCTTATCAAGCCATTTCAAAATCCAATTTTCCATATTTTTATCCTCAACATTTCTCCTCAAAGGCCCTATAGGGTAAATTTGTACTTTAACAACACTTTTCAACCTTTCATTTTCTGTAAGCCCTTTCAAAGTGTCACACTCAGCTTCTTCCCATGTATTAATTAAAATTCCATCAGATAAAGTGTACTCAATTCCTAGCCTAACGTGCTCATTGTATTGCTCATCATTCCGGTCCAGCATTGCATCAACAACATCATCCGGTCTAACCGGTTTACAGCCAGGAATCATCAAGATATTTCCATGGTCAACATATTGACCCTCTATTTCTTTATCAAGAACCTTGGCACTGTAAATTGCCAAGGCAGTGAACCATGCATTAGTTGGAACAAATACGTACTTTGGCATGTTAAATTCTCTGGAAACCAACGTCATGACTTCTGTTGAGAGAAGGTCCACGATGAGAGCGTCTGGCTTAATCGTTGATATGGCGATTCGGATTTCAGGTAAAGCCTGACGTACCTGTTAGAAAATTTTGCTTATTAGGAGAGAAGTGGAAGATAGGATGATTCTTTTTCACAACTTCGCTAACAGAATTTCTAGAAATATATAGGTGGGTAATTGTTATTGGTGATCTAAATCATCTCTGTCCCAAATTATGTAAGTCAAACTTCTTAATTCTGACCGTAAATTCGAATATAGAATTTTTAAATTTTTTGAAATAAAATTTATATATTTAAAAATAACACAATAAGAAGTATTATAAGTCACACTAGTTAACAATTCTAAATATCTAAAAAGTATATAAAATAATCACGGTCAAAGGAAAACTCAATTGACTCTCGAAATCCGAAACCGGCCACATAAACTAAGACGAATAAAGTATATCTAGCCCATACACGTAATTTTATTTAATTTTTTATCCTCCTTTTACTAGTACACGAACAAAGTCATACACTAATATATGAATCTCCTAGACCAATACTTAGAGGGTTTTTGGATTGGCTTTTAAGCTGGTCAAATCAGCTTTTAAACTTTTTTTAATTTTTTTTCAAGTATTTGACAAAGTTAAAAAGTGCTTAAAATAAGTTTAAAATCGCTTAAAACAAGGCAAAAGCAATAAGCTGGGTAACCCCAATTATTTATTACTTTTTGGCTTAAAAATTATTTCTGCTGAAAATTAAAGCTACCTTTTTTAAGCCAATCCAAACGGGCTCTTAATATTTTCGGCCATGAACAAATTAAATTAATAAAAAACGAATAAAGTTTTGTTAACATTTCAACGTATAGTACATACCATCACGCAAATTTGTGTCACCACCTTTGCGTCGGTATCAATTAGGTTGGAGATGTCCACTGGAGGAATTTGGACAACGTCTATAAGTTTTCTTGGGACATTGAAGGTCTTAAGAAGTTGTGTATCGGGAGGTGAATTCTTGCTTGTGATAATAATGATAGTAGCTTTGATATTGTGAAAGACAGCGAGTCGATTGCCTAAAACAAGAACTGGGATTAAGTGCCCTTTTCCTGGGCTAGCTACAATGCCTACATGAAGTTGAGGGCTGCCCATGGTGTCCTTATATTATACTAACTCTCCTTGCACACACTAACATGTACAAGTAATTAAACCACACTATCAAAATGAAAATGAGTGTTTAATTTATATAGAGAGCATTGCTAATATATAGGGCTAGCTAGTATATTCTTATTTCATTTTTTTTTTGAGATGATCGGTGATGAATCGTGGCATGCTGTAGGAGAACTAAAAAGCGTAAGATTTCCCAATATAGTATGAGCACAGTGCAATATATTAGATTAGCATGAAATGTGTGGCATGGGGTTTTACACTTACTCGACCGTCTACAAAACTAACGTGGCTTCTTTTCAATCAACTTCATGTTATCATACCATGAACTTCTTAGGCGTCAAAAACCACTATCCAGAAGTCACAAAGGAGAGGATGGATCATTTGAGATCAGAAAGGGAAAGAGATAAAAGAAAGAAATTTAATGAAAATAAGACGTGAAGAATCGCTTGTATTGTCTAGTACAGGTGAAATCTATCACACAATTGGCTGTCAGTTCTTTAACTTTAAAATTAAATATTCTATAAAATTTTTTATATTGTCGATATATACAAGCTACTCTTTTCTCTGTCGTGCCCTTAATTTTCATGGAGAATAACCATCCTTCCTATTAAAACGAGGCTTTTCATTTTCGAAATAAGAAACATAATTCAGAAACATGGAAAAATGTACTTCTCTGAAATAAATAGCACTAGAGGATGAGCTACATTTTCTTGAGAGTTTTACGGTTCCATAAGAATTTTCTCATTTGAGTGAATTGATGATTTTATTATACTAGAAATTAAAATCATGCATGGAACAGAAAGAGCCTTGCACTGGATTTATAAGCTTTGAAACTAAAAGAGGCTAGGCCCAGCATTCATGGTCCAGCTGTACTGTCACAACTCACGAGTCCACTAATGTTAGTAACTTCACCTTAACTGGCCTGTACTTGAAATTCAACGAGTTCAAATGAAATAGTTTATTTTTTTCTATTTTCTCAACCTCAAGAAATGATCAAGTTTTGTAAAAATTTTATAAAATTATATAGTAAAAGTTGCAATCTCAATAATCGGCATGCAATACCAAAATACTCTCAAACTGTGTAGTTGTTTGGAAATTATGTCTATAGGTTTAAAGTGGTGCCTTGCATCTGAAACTGCTTGTACGTTTGAATTTAAAGTCACATAGAAAGTATGTCTAGCTTAATATGACTTTAATTTTATCTCAATTCTGAAACTGCTTATTCACAATACTGAATCTGCTTGCGTTCCTTCGTGTCTAAGTGTGGAGACTAACTTGAGCCTTTAACTACCTTTATATGAAGTCCTACTTGTTTTGTATGTCACTTTAGTTTTATCATTTTGAGCATCCTAAGTAAAGTCTAGAACCACCCAAATAGAGGTCCAATGTCTCCTGGATCATAGGCGTGGGACGAGTAGTGTACGCCTAGGGTACGAGTTAGAATTGAACTAGAGCGCATTTAGGTAAACAACTTTAACATAGTAATCGGGTAATATGAGATGATAGTCTGTGCCCGATGAATAATATGAGTAACTACCTACCTCAAGGGAGTTGCGAAGTATTATTTATGTTGCACGTGGTGATCCATTAGGCTAAAAAACTTACGACCCCCTCCTTTTCTTCTTTATACATTTAGTCATCCTATATAGACCGTTATAGTTATATCCTTGTAATCCTTATTTCTCATTGTGTTATAATAGAATTCTCTAACCCTTACTCTCTTGTTTGTCTTGCCTAATTATAATTCACATAGTCTTAAGTTCTACCGAGACCCACAGTTGTGGAGCTCGAAGAGTGCCTAACACCTTCTCTTTGAGGTAATTTGAGCCCTTACCCCATCTTTGGCGGTGTTGACTAGTCAAACAGAGTTATCCTAAATAGGTACCCTAATGCACCTTAAAAATTATTAGGTGGCGACTCTTCCTCTTTTAACACTTTATATCCCATCTAAAAGAGTTGCACAATGTTGAAACCTGCTTTCGCGAGAAAACGGGGCGCGATAGCATGGCGACTCTGCTGGGAATTTTATACTTAAGCTCTTACCATAATGAACGTGGCTTATGTGGATTATTATGACATGCACATCCTTTCCCTTTTCCACCTTTATTTATTTTAATTTGTTTTTAACATGCACATTCCTTTCCCGTTCACCTTTATTTGTGTAAATCCGTCATGACATGCATATCTCTTCCATGTTCACCATTATTTGCTGTGATTTCTCTTTATGTTGTTTAAAGACTACTATATCATGCCTCTCCCATACTTCCTTACTTGCTTTATTACATTCTCACATATATTCCACGAACTAACTTCTTCCTCTGTCTTTCTTTTTATGTTTTTTCATGTTTTACCTTATTACTGTATTTACTGCTTTTACATATTTATCATGCAAATAATTGGCAACGTATTATTATCTCTGCATAAAGCATGCTCTACATCATACTCCTCTCGTGCCAGTTATCAACACATCGGCACTTGATGAGTGTCTGCGCTCTTTCGAAATTACCCTTTTTAAATAAAAAAGGCTTATTTGCGGTAGACTAGTCGATTAGCGGTGCCGTCGACGGTCTCGTGCCTTTCCCTCTCAAGTTGTCCACTTAATAGTACCAGTCTAGACCATTCTAGAAACCTTACTCCAACATCAAATGTACATGCATCATGTTAAACCTAATATGGGTTATGATGTTGTTAACTTAACAGCCCGCTAAGATAAGCCTTGTCCAAAGTCCGATTTCTATAATCCTAAGGGACACTACCATGTTACGTGCATTACTTGGAGAAAATATGCCAATATATTGATCATTATTGTGTAAATGGTCGAATCTGGAGGGTGAAAAGGCTAATTTTATTTGTTTGCAGAAAATGAAGCACGAAGTCCCCCAGGTTCGGCATGGTCCAAAACATCCCACCTCTGTTATTTGATTGGTGGAAAAACCTCGCGCCTTACAACAAGAATCATGTGAGAAGGGTCCTTGGAAAGTTGTTGTCTTTGCTAGACATCTGACCAAATAGGGCATTGATCGAGCCCGCTACCATGTTTTGGGATGAGAAAAGGACCGTCTTTCGCTTTGGTGACATAGAAATGACTCCTCTCCTAGAATAAATAAGAGGCTTCACTAAGTTGCCGTGGGATAGTCCAGGGTTATTAGTGCCGGATAATCGCACCCCTCGCGGTTTTCTGAAAATGGTAGGTTTCAAGAAAAATGATGAATTTCTTTGTTTGAAGAAATCATACATCCCATTTGAATTCCTTTATGAGCGTTATGGGCAAAGTAAGTCATATCGCCTTCATCATGATGAACTCGCCATTACCTCCTTGGGTTGGACGCACCGTCGAGTTTACCTCGTTTGGTTCTTGTGGTTATTGATATTTCAATGAAAGGGGAAATGATCCATACTCGTCTAGCCATAGTCCCCATGATCTTAGCTGAAATGTACCGTGCTCTAAATGGGTGCAAGCAAGGATTCGGGCACTTTGAAGGTTGTAATCTGTTATTACAAGTCTGGTTATTACAACATATTCATAGGGGAGAATATCTCCAAGAGCTTCTATGACAGCCGTTGAATGACTACATAACTTACCATCACCCAAATATAATGACATTCATCCCAGATAGGTTTGCACAACCTGTAAATGCTGTAAGTTGGGTGCATTTCTTCAGCAATTTGACAGACGAGCAGGTATAATGGATGTTTGAATGGTTCTTAGTAGTGAGTTCATCATCAGGTCGAGAGAGACTTCTTACCTGGTACTAATCGGGTTAAGGGGATCTACCCTTATGCTCCTATAAGGGTAATGAGACAAGCGGGAAAAATAAGTTATACCTCGGGTTTCCAACATGGTCCAGTACAAAGCAGATTTTAAAGGGGACGCCATTCCATTCAAGTTCGAGGCACATCATATGTGGAACCAGAAGGTCATTGTGGAAAAAAAATATTGAGCCAGACAGGTATCATGCCGGTCATGTATATTACTACCTATCATGGCTGGTGGACGATATAGCAGGAGACGTCAAGCCAGGAATTAATCTGTAAAATAGGATCATAGATGATACTACTGAAGCACAGATCAAGTATGGGAGGTTACGCAAAAAGGTCTTCGAGTCTGAAGCTAGGCATCTGGAACAACACAAAGTGGATATCGAAGCAATCAACGAATGGAGGGAAATTGCTACTAAGTCAACAGAGAGATTGTAATATTTGGAATGGGGGTTCATGGAGCTTGAAGGGAAGATGAGAAAGAAGCTTTCAGATTATCAAAACACGGATGGCAGTGAAGGAGGGCATCTAGCAATGACTTAACTATTGTGGGATATGCGCGACCTGATTGATGGAGTCAAGAGAGCCAAACACGGGGAAGGTCCTTCTAGGATGAAGCAGATTAGGAAATGATGTTCTTTACTGCTTTCTAGCTTAGTTTTAGATTTTGATTGTAATAAGGCAAAATGCCATTAGTAACCTTCTCATTATTGTCGATTTAGTAATGATATGATTCATTTTAGCATTAATGAAATGACACAATTATTGGCATTAATTTTCTCCAAGTCTAATGTGTCGCTTAGGCCTACCTCGGGCACAACGAGGTCCCCCAAATTAGGACGCAAATTATTAGGTGATTTTGCAAAACATATTTAATATTGCAAGCATTCTTTTAATATCCCTTACTGACTTGGTTACCTTTTGTTTGTTTTTCTTTCTTTTGATTATTCCCACTCCCCAAGGTTGGTTCGTGCATACTGGCATCATCGGCATATCACACTAGATCCAAAGGTCCTCCACCTCCTCCTCCACCAAGTGATCCTAAAGGCAGAAGCAAAGCGAAAGGAAAAATGGATGATTTAAGCGGTATCAGAAAAGACAATACTACTATGGAAGAAAATGCCGAAACCTTAGATGGCCAAAGTACTCCGGCACAGAATGAATTGGTCTTACGCCTGGAACAAAAAATCCTGGAGCTACAAGAAGAACTTGATCATGTATGG